CATGTTATCTGCCTCAAAAACACAGGAAACAAATGTTAAAGTTTGGTGCGTTGCCATGGTAACAGTATATAAGATATCAATAATCCCTTCCCAGTTTTGCATCTACCATGTTGGCATTGGCATTATTCTGGTGAAGTTTGAAGAAAATCAAGTAAAAATAAGATGCTGGATTCAAAGCATTTTGAAAATGACACACTTCCTGCTGCCAGTTGGTGGACCTATAACTTTCAGTCATAATAGTCACATCTATGTGATCGGCCTCATACAGCGAATAAACCGCTGAAGTTTCATCAAAAGCAGACATTGTGTGCAACAGTTATTAGACACATCCTGTTTCTCATTTCTTGCCATAATTTCATCGCATCGCCATGGCCAAACTGTTCGAGATATAATGAGATCTATATGTGTACCGTGTTTCATATGAATATGTGCAAGTATGTGTGAGTTATACATCAAGTTTTCTGACTGTTCCAGGGGGCGCAGATTCCAATGTGTGTGCCAATTTTCAAGAGTTTTTGAGCATGTTAAGGCCCCCAAAATTCCCCGGATGGTGGAGGGGGAAAAAATCCTTAGAAAAACAAGAGGCCCCTGCGCCTTTACAGTAATGACGTCACTACACAAAGTGTGACACTTCAGTCTTTTATCTCGCTTGAGAGTAAATACTATAATCGATATCATGATTCTTTCAATCTTCTGATTCTTAGACTGTGGAGGAAAAATAACAGGAGAGTATGGATCGTTGTCCAGTCCAAACCATCCAAAGCCTTACCCACATCAACAGGTGAGTGATTTATCAGCTGCTATTTCTGTCAATCACTTCCTGAATCTAACTGCTAAATCGCATAAATTTACATACAGTTTTATATAAATTAGCTATGTACTGATCAATTAATGTATTAGGCCAGCTTTTAAATTGCTAGTATTTGTTTCGGCATTGTGACTGTTTCTATCACATCTGTATTAATTGTAGTTATCTCTACCGCTCTCATAGTTGTGTACGTGGCAAATCTCTGTGGAAGATGGGCAAGTGATTAGACTGAGTTTTCAGAACTTCAGTCTGGAAACACAGGATGTGTGTGAGTTTGACTTTGTGGAGGTTTATGATGGCGCAGACGCAGATGCAAACACTGTGCTGGGCAGGTGAGAATACGGCACTGCTGTCTCTACAACACTGATGGGATTTAAAGAGACCTATTGATTTAAAATGTTTACTTTCAGCAACAGTGAGTTCCAATCCAAATGAAAATGCAGAGAACGCAAAACATTTCCATCACGAGCATTATCTTGAGGAAGGCAGATTTAATTGTGTGTCATATTTGTTGCACTGGAGTGACTGAGTCAATGCCCAGTTGAAAAAACAGCATATGCTGGTT